GAAAAAGAGATTTTAATGGCGATGTTGGTGGTTTGAAATTCGTCGGAGATGGTTATGGTCTTCATCGACCATATCGATCAGGGTTTTAATTGAGTGAGGGAGAGTGTCGAGAGAGAATGAGATAGTTGGGGGGGGAGAGTGGTGCGAGAGAAAGAGTGTTGGGAAATTAGTGGGCGGTTAGGCTTAGGGGGGTGTATTCAAATGAGATTTTGAGAGATTTTAATTCTTTTAATGAATTTAGAGGTATTCAATCAAAATTTTAAGCAATTTTCTGAAATTCAATGTGTATTGAATTGAGATTCTAAGATAGTTTATTAAAATCCTTAAAAATCTGGGTGTATTCAATTAGGATTTTAAAGAAGTTTATAACATTCCAGGTGTATTCAATTAGAATTTGATTTTAAAGAATTTGATAAAGTTGAGGAATTAGAGGGAATTGGAGAGATTTCGTAGTGTATTTGACGCATCTACAAATCTCACATCTTCCGATGAGATTTCGAGGGAATTGAATCAAAATTTTACATAGAATCTCTACAAATCAATTAAACTCCATAAAAATCCATAGATTTATAAATCTATTGAAATTCATAAAAATCCATAAAATTTTACAAGGGGACACTGCCAATACTAGGGCTGGGCACGGGCCGGGCCCAATTTTGAAGGGACTGGATCGGACCTGGGTTCAAAGGAAACGGGCTGGGCCGGGCTGGGGATTACATTTTCTAATATAGGAACCGAACATTACCCGGCTCGGTTGAAACGGGTTGGTTCGGGCCGGGTCCATGGGTCCTTTCTTTTTTTTTGTTTGAAAAAAAAAATAATAAAAAAAATTGTACAAATTGCAAACTGCACAGATTTGCACAAATTGCAAACTGCACAGAGTCACAAATAGCATTTAAGCAGATTTTGCACAAATTCACCATTATTCACATCCAATCTAAATACAAAGTTCAACATTAAAGTTCATAGATTAACAATACATCCAAAATAACAATATTACATCGTCCAACATCTAAAAATGTATGAGTTACTCTAGACATTCAACATCCAAAATAACAATATTACATTGTCGAACATTCAAAATAACAATATTACTCTTTTCTAGATAGCTGCAAGAGAGAAACGATAAAAATGCATGAGTTACTCTAGAGTCTAAACCATCTAGGAAATTTACAATAAAAGAGTATGATAAATGATATTTGGGAAATATAGGTATTATTAACAGAAATGCTAGTAGCAGCTTCACAAAGTAAACAAAATATTCTGGTCTGCTTCTGATCCAGGAATGACAAGATTGTAGGACTACCAAATTAACAGATTGGAAATTTAGAAAACCTAAAGTATTCCTCGAATACCAATAGATAAACATCCAGAAGCTAGAAGAAACAAAAATGTATGACCATAGATTGTTAGGTACAAAGCAGGAGCTCTTTTTTTGTCACCCACTTAGGTATGGATGGAGCTAATACTTCTTCATTGTATAATAAATCAAGATTCCCCATGATTTCCATTTGATTATTTCTTCTTGTCAAATTCAGTCCAGGAAGTTGGTTCTTCCTCCCTAATGGGACCCGGATTTATAACAAACTAATGGAGTTCATAAGGAATCAATACAGAGAATGAGGCTATAAAGAGGTGACATTTAATGTTCTGTTTTACATCGTTCTATTAATCTTGAATAATTTTCACCTAATTTGCATTTCTTTGGTAGGTTATATCACCAAACATGTACAATATGCAACTTTGGGAAACATCTGGTCATGTAGCAAATTACAAAAAGAATATGTTTGTTTTTTAGGTGAGTTTTGACATGATATTTTAGGGTTCAGCTATATCACCTTAATGTTTAAACTTAAAAGCAACCAAACTTCCAAAGACATTTATATTTTTCGGGATATGCATGAATAGTGAATATCAAATGTTGGCTATGTATATATTAATCTGTTGATACTGAAATCTAATCATGAACCACCTAAGCATGTCTGATTCTTTTTGGGAACTTTGTTTACCTGATAGACAATCATCAATCTACTGCAAAATTAACTCTGGTAACCTAGTTCAAAAACCCTAAAATCCCTACACCCAAAATTCAAAATTTCAAATTAATAACAAAACTCTAATTCAGAATTACCTAAATTTTAGAGGGATGATGGCTGGTACTAGTGTCCTCTACGACGGTGATGGGGTTGTTGTCAAAGAGGAGAGAATCGACGGCAGGGGTGATGGCCTGGCCCCTGGGTTCTCTGGGATGTTGTCGAAGAGGATGATGGGTGGTGGTGCCGTTGTGTTCGCCCAGGAGAATCGACGGTTGGTGAGGGGGAGGATGATTGGAGTCGAGGGAAGGGAACTGTCGATGTCGAGGAAGGACTGAGAGAGAGTCTGAGCTGAGACTGAGACTGAGAGTCGAGATGAGATGAGAAAGAGATAGAGAACTTAGGGTATAAAACTAAAACTGACGGTTCAAATTACATATGGTAGCTTATTCATCAATCTGGTCCGTTCATTTTAATTACAAACGGGCCGGTCCAGGTACCCGCGGTTCCTATACTCCAGGAACCGGCCCGAACCGAAAATCACAAAGGCCCGCCCTGTTTCTCCTTTTTAAAATTATGAACCAGCCCATACCCGCCACGAACTGCCATTACCCGCCCCGACCCACGGTTCTTGTACCTGTTTGCCCACCCCTAGTCAATACAACACTAACCCTAAGCAGAAACATTAAAATAAAATCCAATTGCAATTTGGAAGATTCTAACAGCTAATACTCGAGGGTGCAAAATTATTAATGGCTCATTTGGAAGTGCTTTTAAAATAACTGAAAGTGCTTTTGGTGAAATTAATTTTGAATTCCAAAAGCACTTAAAGTGCTTTTTGGAAGAAGCATCAAGTATATGCTTCTTGCAGGAAGCACTTAAACTGTTTTTCTAAGATCTACTTGGATTTTTACTAAATTATTGTTTTCAAAAATATTTTCATCAAATGTATTTTCAGTCATTTTAAAAGCACTTCCAAACAAGCCATAAATTTCCTCTTGCCTTGAAATGTGTGTAACTTGTTCGTTAGAGCAGCTCCACTGGAGTTAAAGCCATGTGGACAAGGGACTAATTCAACCCAATCCCCTCCCTTCCTTTCTCTAGCCCATGTGGGCGATTGGGCTAAGGGAAGGCCCGTGTGAGAGGGGAAGGATGAATCCAGGGCTCGAGCGCCTGAGGGCGCATTGATGCAAGGCCGACGTCAGTCACGTTAAAAAATTAATACAAATGTAAAAAATAATAATAATAATAATTTAATAAAATTAATAAAAAATCAGAATTTTTTTAAAAATTAAAAACTAAATTGATTTAATTTTTCTTTAAATATTTTATCATTATCTTCCACCTTACACCACAATTTTATATTTTCTCAAATACTTTGAGTTGTAATTTCTTACTTAATGACATGTGGCACAACGAGACCGATAAAAAATCTTATCCGAAATTACAAATAAAATTATTTTTTATTATTTTATAAAATAAAAAATAGTAATATTTTATTGACTATTGTCATGGCTATTCAGTTTAGGGGTAGAAATGCAAAAGGCAATTACTGTTCATTAAAAGCAGGTACGATTTATTAGAGGGGATTTAATAGGCAGTTGCCCTGGGGGGCCTTCCAACACTGGAAGTGATCTTATACATTCAGTTTATGCTCATGTGTTCATATGCTATTCAAATAACACAAGAAAATATACATCATAAGAAATAAGCTTAGATGTCCACGTAAGATTTACACTTAACCCTTTAGAGGCATGTTTGTAAATTCATAACTTCGGGGGCATGATTTACTTTAGGGTAAACTGCCAATTTAGTCCATGAATTATCACCTTAGTGAAAATTAGGTCGCTAAACTATTTTTTCAGAAAAATTAGTCCCTGAATTATAAAAATCTGCCAATTACATCCCTAGTGATATATTCGAAGCTACTATATTCAATTTTTCATCAATTTAAGTCACGTTACTTGCATATGATACACATTGGAAGGTAGATTGGTAGTTTTTCATAAAGAAATAGTGTATGGAGTTAACTTTGGAGGAGAAGTTGGTAGTTTTTCATAAAGAAATAGTGTAAGTTAACTTTTGAGGGTAAATTAGACATTAAATTTGCAACCTATATGAAATGTTAGGCACTTACAGACGAGAAAATGATGATATTATACTCTAAAGTGTGTCAAGTGACTTAATTTGACAAAAAAATGGATAAAATAGCTTTAAATATAATAGTATGGATGAAATTAGCAATTTCTAATGAATTTAGGGACTTATTTTACCGAAAAAATAATTCAGGGACCTAATTTTCACTAAGGTGATAATTCAGGGACTAAATCGGCACTTCACCCTTTACTTTAAGAACGAGTCGTAACATGTAAAGCGGAGGAAATGCACAATCCCTATTTTTTTAATTCTAGATGCGTCCATACACAATCCATTCTCTTCGAATTCTACCTATGATCTCACCCAAATCTTTGAAATTTAATTTGAATTAATGCCAAAATATTATTGTTAAACATTATGTATTTAATTATGTACTGGATTTTGGCCAAACAATGAACAAGCATAAGTAAGATCCATACTATTTTCAGGTTCCTTATCCATCATGTGACAGCGTATAATACAAAAAATTAAAACTCTGTGACAGCACTCATCACACCAGATTGCAGAGAAGAAGAAGAAGGGATCTGCATTCAGTAACATTTTTTTGAAGGAAAAATTAATATAAAACATAAAAAGAAAACCCTTTTTTTTCAAATAGTCAATGGCAGAGTGCCATTTTTAACACGGACTCTAACTTGGTATATCCCAAATATCAGAAGAAAAAAAATAAAAATTCAAAAACCCAACATTTATGGATTTTCAAATCCCAAGATTGCCCCGTCCCCTTCTCTCTGTTTCTCTCCCCCACTAACTTAATAAGCAATGCCTGCACCCACCAAATGGATTCAGATCTGCTTGATATGGGCTGATTTGGGAAATGCCAGAGAGCTCTGTTTCAGAGATTGTGATGCAGAAAGAATGACAGAGAGGACTCAGTAAACAATCCTAGAGAGAGAAAGAGAGAGAGAGAGAGAGGAGAGAGAGGGAATCACTGGGGAAAAAAGATACGGAAACGCTTCCAACCCAAGAAGGAAGGCGAAGTCTCAGGCTTTTTGGGTTCTTCTTTCTCTTTCACTCGTCTGTAGTACTGGTCCTTGGGGGGCAAAGGAGAAGCTATAAAAAGAAGTATTTTTGGGTGGGTAAGCGGGCTTTTAATGCCTGCTCTGTTTTTACAGCTCTTTTTATAGTCCTCCTCTATAGTTCTCTAGTACTTCCACACAGTCTGAGTCTACTTCTAGAGAGAGAGAGAGAGGGAGATAGAGAGAGAGGAGAGAGAGATCAGAGAAAATTATGGCTTTAATTATAGAAGGGTCAGGGGCTTGCAGTTGCTGAAGATAGCAAAAGGGTATTGTTCTTTTTAGAGAGAGAGAGGGAGGAGTGAGAGAGAAGCGTACTATTATTACCCAAAAGGGTTTTGAAAGAGAAGAAGGGAGAGGCTTTTTAAAACAAATTGGAAGCGGTTCACGGGATTGTCAGTGGGTATCTTTCATCCAGAGTACACGTTGCACCAGAAAGTTGAAATTTATATAGAGAAAGCAGAGTGGAGAGAGAGAGAGAGAGAGAGAAGCGGTGGAGGGGGTGGTGGTATTGTCTTTTGTCGTTGTAGTTTTGCCAAGAATAGTCAGAGGACAAAGTGCGGGGGACTGTAAAACCCGGCGCTTTTTTTGAATTTAAAGATTTTAAGGAGGTGAGTGAGAGTTTGTAAATTCTTGTTTTGTTTACGTGAAGTTTTTGAGTTTTTGAAACTTTGTTTTTTTTTTTGTTTTAAAATTTGTTTTTGAATATCTGCATCATTCTGCGACGGATTTTGTCTTGTAATACAGTTCTTCACGAGGAGCTGTCAGAATTCACAAAGAAAATTAAAATAAAAAATCCAATGTTTAATCTTTAACTCAAGTGTTTTGTTTGTTAATCTTTTCCTTAGCATTTCTCTGATGCATTTTGTTTGTTAATCTTTTGCTCCACACTTCTCTGCTTGCAACCTGTAAAGATTTTGCAGAACCCTTTCTGCTCTCTTTGCTCACACACACCCACCTTTGTTTTTGGATTTTAGTTTTTTTTCAAAACTTTCTCACTCCTCTACTTTCTCTCTCATCCAAATTCTAGACACTAAAAATGGGGTTAGCCTAGGTGCACAACTCACCACTTTGCTCTTTAAACTCAACATTCCCTCTCTCTCTCTCTGACTTTCTTTCTTCACTCTCACTTGTTTCTCTCTCCTCATTTTCTCTCTCTACATTTGGTGCGTTGTAGGTGTTTGCTTCTTCATAAACTACATCTGGATCCTTTTGACTTAACCCCTGCCTCCTTTTAACATTCTCTCTCCAGCTTTCAACTTCAGATTCTAGAGAGAGAAAGTGAGATAGCAAAAAACATGGGGAGAGCTACAAAATGGTTAAAGGGCTTGCTGGGGATGAAGAGAGAGAAACACCACGTCGACAACACCAGCACCGTGTCCAGCGACCGGAAGGAGAAGAAAAGGTGGAGCTTTGCCAAGTCAGGGAAAGACACTACCACCAATCTTCCGCCGAATGTTCCTGTCCCTGCTGACTCTGCCTGGCTCAGATCCTATCTTGCCGAGTCGGAGAAGGAGCAGAACAAGCACGCAATTGCAGTGGCTGCGGCCACCGCAGCCGCTGCTGATGCCGCCGTGGCTGCCGCACAGGCGGCTGTGGCTGTTGTGAGGTTGACAAGTCAAGGCGGCCATGGCGGTGGAGGCGGGATCATGTTTGGGAAAAGAGAGAGATGGGCTGCAATGAAGATTCAAACAGTTTTTAGAGGCTATTTGGTATGTTTGCTTTTTCTTGAGAATGTTGGTTACGTGAAAAGTTAACAAATTTTAATGTATGCTTCGGTTGGTTTTGTGGAAGTAGTTTTCTTAATTTTTACTTTTGTGTCTGCTCCCAGGATGTTGTGAAATCGTTTTCCAAAATCCTAATGGAACAGTAGAGTAGAAACATCTGCTTCCTCAGTCAATGGAACTGCTAGATTTGCGTTTACGTTTGTTATCTTACGTTTGTGTCTGCTCCCAAGAGCTTGTCAGAATTGCTTCGAAATCCTATGGAACAGTAGAAAAATTTGTTTCCGTGTGTCAATCGAACGGCCAACATTTGTTCTTCCTTGATCGTTGTGTATATCCGAATGTGAAGTGTTTGAAATTTGAAATCTTGTTTTTAAAACGGGATAATGATTTTAATGTCTGCCTCCCATTTGTGTTAATGATTTCGGTTTTCTTGCTATTTCTGGTAATGATTTTTCGGCCTGGTTTTTCATCTTATGTACCCCATTTGTTGTTATGATATCGATTTTCTTGCCTTTTCTGTGAAATGATTATTTATGCGCATTGTTGTGTTGAATCTTGAATCGAATTTGATTTCAGGCGAGGAAGGCGCACCGTGCTCTTAGAGGACTGGTTAAGTTGCAGGCTCTTGTTAGAGGATTTCTTGTCCGGAAGCGGGCTGCTGCTACTCTTTACAGTATGCAAGCTCTTTTGAGAGCACAGACTACTGTCCGATACCAGCGTGCGCGTCGTTCTTTCAATAAAGAGAATAGGTTCCTGCCCGAAATCAATGCCCGGAAGTGTGTTGTAAGTCTTTAATTTCACCAAATTGAATCACCATTTAACTTTTTCTTTTTGGCTTCTTACTTATGTGGTTGATTCGTTAATGTATTACAGGAAAGATTTGAAGATGCAAGAAGTGAATTTTATAGCAGGAGGCTATCTGCAACTTATGAAACTTCGGTTGATAGCTTTGATGAAAGCCCGAAAATTGTGGAAATTGACACATTCAAGCCGAGATCCAGGTCTCGTAGATTCAACACCATATTATCTGATCGTGGCGAAGACCTGCATTACCAAACAATCTCCTCACCGCTGCCCTGTCCAATGCCAACTCGTATCTCCATACCTGATAGCCAGAAACCTCAAGATTTTGAATGGTACTTCAATGGTGATGAATGCAAGTTCTTGACTGCCCATAACACTCCGCGGTTTGCCACCTCTTTTCGTTCTAATGCTCCTGGCACACCATCTAAAAGTGTTTGTGGAGACAGCTTCTTTCGGCCTTACTCAAACTTCCCAAACTACATGTCAAGCACTCAGTCCTTTAATGCCAAGTCGAGATCCCACAGCGCCCCGAAGCAAAGGCCGGAACCAGGGCCTAAGAAGAGGCTTTCGCTTAACGAAATGATGGCAGCCAGAAACAGCATCAGCAGCATTCGAATGCATCGATCGTGCAATCAAGTCCAAGAAGAAGAAGAAGAAGAAGAAGAAGTCTCGAATGATTGAGAAATCTGCATAGCAGATGGTTAAAAAAAAAAAAAAAAAAAACCAGATTGGAGAGAGGAGAACAACTTCTCCATGCCTTATTTTTCAATTTAGCATCAATGAGTAGGGTAGAAGTAGAACACAGAGTTCTTGTGTAAATTCTTTTGTTTTTTATTTTCCTCAAGTTTCTTTCTTTCCAATTGTGCCTTCTTGAGTTATGAGTCAATGAAATGGAAAGAGGTTCTACATGTTATTTTCTGATAATCCAAATGTTTTGTTTGCAATTCAATGATCACAGAGGTACCAAAGTGATTGCTTCCAAAGCTAAAGTGGTTAATAAGGGTCTTGTTTTGAGTGTTGCCTCCTTAGTATTGCTTGCATTTAAACGAAAATGGTTAAAAATCGAATCTCACGCTTATGACTTTATCTGAGGTACTGTGTTCGAGTCTCCCCTCTGCAGCATCATTTGTCATCTTTCAAGTTCTTCCGTTAAAGTCTCCATTTTCCAATGTCACTTTAACTTTAGTCGATTACTCCCCTAACACTAAGGGGGTGAATTGGCTATTTATAATTGGTCAATTTCTCAATGAACTTTAACTTTAGTCGATTACTCCCCTAAAATTTTATAAATAGCCAATTCACCCCCTTAGTGTTAGGTTTTAAAAAATTTCATCCAATTTTTATCCATCCAATTTTCTATTCTTTTTGCCTCCATACAGTTGTCATGTGTCATCTGCGTGATCAAAATGGATGGAAAATTGGATGAAATATTCTAAAATCTAGCGTGGAGGGGGAAAATGACTATTTATAAATGTTTAAGGGGGTAATTGGCTAAGGTTAAAGTTCAAAAAGAAATTAACTAATTATAAAAATTTGAAGAAGAATCAGCTAAAATTAAAGCTCAAGAAAGAAATTGATCGCTCTATACAAGTTTGGGAGACAAATGGACAATTATACCTTTACTACAATTACCACTGCATTTATTGTCTTGTATTTGAGTCTCATTTCCCACCGCTTGTACCAGTCAAACACTGAACAGTATGATTGCAAAAACCATTAACTGTTTGACCTTACCAAAAACATATGTGAGAGTTTAACCAACATGCCATCAAATGTTATGGATAAAAAAGGAATTTACTATGATTACAAAAGGGACAAAAAGCACCTCTCTCTGTTTGTTTGTTTGTAATGCATAGGCACTAGACAGATAAAAGAAATGGACAAAAACATCTCGGTTTCAACCGTTGCTAAAATTTATAATAGCTAGGCGAGGCAAGAAGCAGCGGCCACATTATAATCCATGCAAGAAAATTGGAAATCTTATTTGAATTGATTTGAAACCTCCATTTTATTTTCCCACCAAAAACTTAGCTTCTGAGAAGATTACAAATCAATGTTTGATTCTCTCTGTCTTAGGCTTGTAGCATAGCCTAATTTAATAAGTTTGATAATGATATGTTCTTTTATCTTAAATTTATTTAACGAATTCACAATTACGTGACGTCACGATTTAATAATATAATATCAATAAAAATAATTTACGCTTGACTTTCTACTATATATTGTTAATCAATCTAAGTATATGATTTGTAATGTTATCATGTGAGACCTTTGCTAGTAATTCTGTAAGTGAAAGGGAGGGGGAAAAGGCTATCCACTGCTATGCTATTTATTTAATTTAAAATTTAGAAAACAAGGAAAGGCTATGCTATTAGTGTTTGTAGTGTAGACCAGCGTGAAACTTTTCAAAATTTCTTATCAGAAATGATTGGGGGTTTCATCTGATTGATGGGTTTTGATTGATTGCATCATGGTTTATCATGTGATTTGATATGATGGGCCCCACGAGCTCAAATGGTAAAAAGTTGATTAAGAAAAACAAAAATACTATTCTACTACAAATACTATTAATTGTATTAATTTTTTTAATAAAAATATCATTTATATACGTTGACAGATGTTATCATTATTAAAAAGATAGCACAAATAAAAATATAATTAAACGTTAAATGTAGCTTTACTACCAGAAAAATAAAAACATCATTAACGTCCTTGGAGGGTAGTTTGGGTGCTTGAGCCGGTCTTTGACTGAATAATCCTTTTCCTTCCTACGTTTGCTTAAGCCAATACTCCATCATCATCGAGTGTATATGAATATTTCGTGCAGCGTGTAGGTTGTTTTGTCCTTCCCTCCAGACCTATAATCATGACGATCCAACGGCTGATATATGATATTATCATGTGCTTCTTTGCATGGGAGTCGGATCCTCTTCGGATTCTTCAAAACTGAGTCCACTAATCAATGAATTCGAGTCATTGAAATTTGATCAAACGGCTACAATTATTATAACTTTTAGAGAGTTACCTGTTTGTAACCGTTTGATCAAATTTTAATGATCCAGATTCATTGATTAGTGTGCTCATATTTGAAAGATCCAGAGGGGATCCTGTTCTCTTTGCATGGATGTGTGATATGATTGTTAGGTCGTTAATTTCGTTATTTTGATACAAATCTAGATTATCCAACATGATTTTAGAGACAAAATAATGCTTTGGGTCTTGCCCCCAAAAAGGAAATAATAATGCTTTGGTTTGAAGTAATGAAGTAGAGAAAAATGTTAAGAGGACTTTTTTAAAATGAAACTTTTTATTGAAATTCTGTCATCTCATATTTTTTGCACATCATTTTACAATGTTGGTATGAGAATTGTAACAAAAACATGAGGTGATTAAAAGTTTATGAATGTCTCATTTTTTTAAAGAGCCTCCTTAACTACAGTAATGTGTTCCTCTTTTATGTGAGTAGATTAATTTATTTTTTAATTAAGTGTGTTTTAAATTAAAATAAAATATCGCTCAAAGAAAAAACTACAGTCATCAGTTCTCTCGTACTATCACTTAATTCGAAGTGACGTAAAAGTTAATCGAACTATTTCATTTAATACATTTAAATTAAAACGTTAACGTCGACGGCCTAAAAATGTCATTATAGCTTCCTCTACGACAAATTTGCCTTATGTTTTTATAATATTAAAGTACAGAATAACCATTTTAAAGTGTTAATAATCATTTTACTTAAATTGTATTACTAGAAATGCTACGGAGACATTCTCAAAATTGGGCTCTTCATGGACTCCTTTCCACCTCATGTTTTTTGCATAATATTTTATAATGTTGGCACATAAATCAACGTTTAACTGTAAGGTAACAGAGAATCCATAAAAAGTTCCATTTTCAAAAATCTCCTTAACATTTTACTTGAATTGTATATATAACATGAAACCATTTTGTTTTTTGAAAAAAATACTCGATAGATTCATTTCAAAAACAGAGTTACAAAGCCCTACATCAATTACCAAACAGCTTCTTCAAAAAGTAAATCTGAGACGAGGTCCGGAGGTTTCTCAAACCAGTTACATGACCAATTTGAAGTAAGGGCAAACCATTTTGTTTGTGGAATGGAGATGACACCAGATTTTGAAACAAGAATTAACCAGAAGGCCACAGGGCCACAGGTTTGAACACAAAAAGAAGACGTGAAGTGGAACCAAAGATTAATTTAACTAATGAAGTAGTAAGTATGCCTCTTCTGATTCAAACACTGACAACACAATTCTTTATACGTTTTGTTTCAAAAAAAGCTCTTGCCACGAGACCAACAAGCTCGAATATGTTTGGTTGAGCGGCTATGCTTTCGTCATCTTATCTCATTACGCTTTTGAACCAATAAAAAAATCTTAAGATTTCAAAACCATTAAGATAATCCTTCTTCAGGTCCTTGGTTTGATCAATCCCTTAAACGTAATTAGTTAATGCTAACGTTGGATTAGAGTTACTGTCTGGAGTATTGTGGTTTGAAGCTGATTAGTCAAAGCTTAGCATTAATCTCTCATGTGCTAACCACTATTCAAAATCAAAAGTTGGAATCACTCAACCCTAATCATCCTTTTGTCGGTACGTTAGGGTTTTTCTGACTTTAACAAGATTTTGGGTTCTCGATGCCTAACAACTTCACTTGTAAAAACCCTAATAATCTTTTGGCCTATTAATCTACACCTTCTGATTGGTAAACCCTAGTGATCTTTTTCCTAACATGATTCTGCTTTGGTAAATGTTTGAAGAGGATTTTAATGGTGTAAACTTGCACCTATAGCCTATAGGAGAAAGATTTGTGTGAGGTTCAACGTGCCACTAGACAATGTCTAATGGCATTACGACTCAATTGAAATTGACACGAGGTAAAAATTAATTATTATTTCTTAGTTATAGTTTACCTTTTAAAGCTTTCATAATTACATAGAAACAAAAAATAGATTACAAAGATAAATAAAAATAGAGAATACACTTCAATCACCCAACCAAAGCCCTCTTCCACTTGAGAATTCACCTCTCTCGTTGGCGCCGAGTTCAGTATCATTTGACTAAATTTTGAGGGAATAAGCTTTATATTTTCCATTCACACAGATTTTCTTGCCATGGTTAGCACAATTCTTTGAAAAATGAAAAAAATGGTTCATCACCAGGAAAAAAAAAACAAGAGAAAACAAATATCGGTTCAATCATACGTTGTTGTTTTCAAGACCAAAGTCAATACAGTTCCAATTAATCAATTGAGAGAAAATATGAAGTGATGGGATTTCAATTCTTTGAAGACAAGAGAAATTTAATACATAAACTGGAGGGACGGATGAAAGCAACAAGCATCCTTTACTTAGAAAATTGATCAACCCATATTAGAATTCTTTTCCCACCTTTAGACTTGCAATTGAGGCTTTTCTGGTAGAGGAAGTCTGGGCTAGGAATAAAGTAGTTCAAATTTGCCTTTGACAAGAATTGAACTTAAGACCTCTTACTTACAAGTAAAGAGGAATACTACTAGACCGTAGTACTAAGTGGATGTTTTATTTTGGTTTTAGTTATGGAAATAATAATTTTCAGTTTTCTTATGTATATACAAAATTGTAGTTAAATCTTACCACGTGTCAAATTTTGATTAAGTCATAGTGCCATTAGACATTGTCCAATGGCAGGTTGAGACTCACATGTTTTTCTCAACGTGCAGA